AAATCTCACAATTTCATCTGTATTTGAGAAATTTCTACTATAACGTTTTCTTTCTTCTACTTAAACGTTTAAAATTATTATTTTTCCCGTAATTAAATATTATCTCATTACACACAAAATATTAAATAAAACAGGAAATTATACGCAGAATAATTAATTATATATTCTTTACATTTCCATAACTTCCGAGCAGTTTACGCTCCGATAAAAAAAATTGATTGATTATGAATCTAGGTAAAAAAACATGATTGCATATGACTCGATAAAACAGTATTGTATTTGTATTTAATGATAATTAAAAGTATACATTAAATCAAGGAAATCGTGTGTCATCAAAATAATTACTGGTCGATTCTAAAGAAGAAAAAAAAAAAAAAATTCCTGAGACGATTTAACGATATCCTCCCAAATATTAATTTGCATCCTCAAATTTCGATCATTTGATCAAATATTATATTTTGACCGAATATATAATTTCTCCATTTTTCTAACTATATATTTTTATATCGACAATTCGATGTAAAATTAATAATTAATTAATTCACTCCATTCAATAAAAATGATCTTTTCACGTATGAAAATTTTCGTGAGAATAACTTTAACTTTACGTACTATTAATCGAGGTATTTAAAAGATCTCTGATATTCGTGATTGCATCAACAATAATGCAATGCAAATACCTAGGTGAAACTTACTGGCGACACGAGACCTACACGTTCCATATGATGCGAATACGTGCTCGAAACGCTTATTAACGCCACGATCGTTCCGCTACGATTGCGTATGCCGATCCGTCCACGTAATAGATACATCTAATCGGTCACTAGCCACGTCGAGAAACCTTCCAACGTGACTACAATGAATGATAGCTTCCTGTAAGACGCCTTCCCCCCTATATGCTTCTGTGCAATCTCGTGGGATTTCGATGATTAAACTCGTGTGATCTAATCTTTTGTGAGAACAAAAGATCGGAACGAAGAATTTTTTTTCAATTCGATATCGAGAATACAAACTACCATCGTCAACTTGAAGTAAGCACAATCTATCTTAATTTTTACGATTACGATAATTCACATGCTACGTTTCTATTTATTACATTCTTAATTCGTATTATTTATTAGCAAGATAAACGTGGCTTCACGTTATAATAAAGGAAGAATAATTACACGTGTTATCTTTACGTGAAAATTTAATACTCGATATTGAGTATAAAATTTTCTCAATTTAATAAAATTTGTCGAATAAAAATGAAAAGAAAAAAAAAATATATATTTCGAATAATCGAATCACGATAAATTAAAATAACGAAGTCGCAACATTTTTCAAGAATAATCACGCGAACAATTTCGCGATCGCATGCATTGATCGATAATCGACTCGAATCGCATGAATCATCGAGACTAGATTAACTGGACGATTCATATGTGTAGCACTTGGATTATTTTCGTTGTAAAAATGACCACGTGTAAATTCAAATGGGATGAATAAATAGAGGAAAATTAAAATATTTTTATCGCTTACCCGGAAAATTGTTCGCTATTGCGGCAAATCGATTTCGAAATACGTAATTTTTATTCGAAACGTTCGAGATCTTGATCACACGAACGCCCGCGAGCCAGTGATCTCACTGACGATGATTAATGCCGAAACCTCGGTAAAATGAGTCTGCCTCTGTCTCGTTTGATTTGTTAATCGATTCAACCTGTCATTCACATTCATCATGCGTTCTACATGTTTTTATAATACGTACCCTCTATTCCTTCACGATTTATAAAACGTTATGCAGCTTAGTAACCGTCTATTCAATATAAAAAGAAAATCTTTATCTAACCTATGTGAATACTTAATAAAAAGTTATAATGTAAAGTCTATAAATATATAATTGAAGAATTTAAAAAAGGATGTTAACGTCAGAATAAATTATATCATAGATTTCATATTTTTTTTTTAATAATAAAAATAATAAAAAATTCATAAAGAACAAATTTTGAACAATATTTTATCAATGATTAATATTTCAACAGTAAAAAAAATTGTTGAAAATTTTCCAATAGTATCGTTATTCTTCTTACATTTAATAATATAAAAAAGTACATATATTAATTATTTAATTCGTTTAAATTTTACTTCCACGATTTAAAAAATAAAAACGTCGTATAAAAAGGAAATTTATCAGATTAGAAAATTCGATCGGCGATGAACGTTTTTAATGCTGTAGCCGTGTCAGTCCAATTACTCCAATTATTAATTAAACGTACACGTTTGGCCAGAATTGCTCAAACTGAACTAACTAACACCCACACGCAGTGTCGAGTCTAATCACAAACAGAAGAGGTGTGCACCGTGTGGTGGTGCACACGTGTGCAGCCGCGACAGAGGCTGCACTTCACGGTTGGTTCGCATTGGTGCCAAGGTTGCGTTCGTGCTAGTGCGTGGATTAATCGAACCAGCACGAACCGCTCTGCAAACCGTCCTATGCTCTTATCACACGTTGTAACACGTGTACACGATTATAACGCGTACAATACGTGGACATGTGTGTTACGACAAAAGATGGGGCGAGAGATCTAGACTGAGCAAACAGAGTCGTGGAAATTATGTGAAGGAGGTGAAGTTCACTTTTTACAACGAGCACTCTGTACGAAAGAGGAAGGCAAGTATCGGGGAGAGGTCTGTAAATATTCCGGATGGGAGTGGAGATAGATGTATTTTTTCAACAAGGACTCTTTTCTTTGTGGTTTTTGTAGCAGTAAGTATCGAATTTTTTTTTTCTTACTTTCGTATCTTCGTACAAGAATTTTTTACTTTATAGATAAACCTTATATGAAATCTATCTTAAATAAAATGTAGAGGAAAAATACTTGCGAGAAAGTAAAAGTTAATCGAGACATCTGGTGGCGATAAGTTAAGCAATAGAATTATGAGATAATCTTCTAGGGCAAAATTATTATATTTTTATACGGGAATTTTTTAATCTCGTATAAAATGATGCGAATAAAAGTTTATTGTTTATTCGAATACGTGTACGCTTCAAGAGTTTTTTAAATATCAACGTGTAGGTTTCATTTTATTAACTTTGTAGCAGAAAACTTGCGATATTTATATATTTCTGTAAACAAAAATTTTTTTATTTCGCGTATTAAAACAACATAACGTAAATTATCTTATCAATTATTTTAAAATTTAAGAATGAAAAATACAAAACTTTTCCATCTAAAGAATCTGCCTACGTAACTTCGAGCAAAGGAAAAGAAGAGGAAGAAACGCGAGGAAGAGGGACAGAAATAGACAAACGAAAAAGAAGTTCGAAATGCGTCATTCCACGTTTGTTGGCCGGCAACAGGGGCACGCGATAAGCCTCGAAAAGCCTCGTAAATTGCGGCAGAGGCGTAGATAACGAGGCGCATTGGCGTGACCTTCTCGCGGCGAGCGTTCGCGGGCCGCTTTAAGGCCGCTTTTAAAGCCATTGCTGCGACTGATAACGACGTGATCGGCGAGATCGCCGCGAGCGCATGCGTTTTCACTCGCGAATTCTACACGCCATTCAAGTTTCAATAGCCGACCTTCACCCTATGCGTTCAACGCTAGACGATCGAGCGTTAAACGGGCCCGATCCACGAGCGGTTGCGGAATCGGCGTGAGTCACTCGAGTGCCGAGATATCGATAATACATGAATGATAATACGTAAGTATGCATGTTTATTCAAAAGTTGGAAAGCGAACAATGAATCGTAAAGTTTTCAGATTTTTTTTAATTCTATTTTGTTAACCATCTATTTCTTAATGGTGTTGATTAATAAAAAAGGATAAAATAAGATAAAGAATATACACAATAATAACTCTTTAATAGCTAAAAATATGGTATGAGAATGAGTTAAACGAAGGAAATAATTGAGTAAATTGGTCCTGTGTTTGGTCAGACGTTAAAATTCTCGTGAAATTATAGATAACATCGTATAATTTATACAAATAAATAATTTGTGATAGATGTAATATATATATATATCATTTTTATAATAATTTTAAAAAGAAAGTTAAAAATGATCGAAACAAACCACCATCATTCCATTTACGTTTCATCATATTTTTCTACAATTACAAGCTTATTATGAAACTATAACAAGGATCATTTTGAGTGCAGATAAGAGCAAGCCTTGACACCGGTGTTAATTGACTATACGTACTACCAGCAGTATGCTAATTATCATTCGCACGCATTTAACAATGGGTTTCGTTTAAGTATCATTAAAAGTTGAAATTCGTAACGTGGGATGTTTCAAATGATATTAATTTTAATCAGTAGGAACGATAGTGAAAATTTTAATTTTAATAATACATTCATGAAATTTAATAATGTCGCATTTAACATGTAATTACTTTTAAATGCGACAAATAAATCAATTGTTTACATTATTTATTAAATATATATAATAAAATAAATATATATATATATATTTTCAAAAGAGATTATTACATATAAATTATAACAAAATGAATTTTTATCTTTTAGGAAAAGATAACTTTGTAAAAATGTTATAGAACAAAGAGTACTTTATGAAAAATATATATGTCTCACATACGCGTGCAATGGAATCTTGCAAGAAGTCTTAATGCAATTCGGTATTTTATTAACAGTATAATTCTTATGAAACCTGCGTAACCTAACGACTTGGGAATGCGATAAATGGTACGCATTTGACGACACGGAGAATAGCATCTTTCTTTCTCCTCTTTCGTGTATAACTGTGAAATATTACATTGAATTCCACGCGCATGTACAGGATGGTCCATTTATATCTACGTTATACGAATAATTTTTTATATTTTACGTACTACAAATATATATGAAATATAAAATTTCAACTCAATTTTCAACTCAACCATATTATACTTTAACCAAATCAAAAATATCTCTTCTAATAAATGAAATATCCTGTACAAAATAAAAATTCAATTATATACAATATTTATATAAATAACGATATACATGATATACATACAAGTGTTCCCACGGGACCAATGTTGGGCCTGAGTCCCTTGGATGATGGCGGTCACCGACATCATCGGTTTCTCCTTCTTCATCATCTTGGCTGTCTTGATCTTCCTGTTTTCACTCGTCACTTTTACTTTTTTTTTTCCTCTCCCCCCCCTTCTTCTACACTTCACCGAATCCGAAAGATCCTACTCTCAAGCGAAACACGCACGATATCCTTGTCGCGTCATCTCGAGAAACGAAAAAACGACTAGCCGACCACCATCACCTCCTCCTCCTCCTCCTCCTCCTCCTCCTCCACCTCTCCCTCCTTCTCCTCCTCCTCCTCCTTCCTTCTCTAAATCGAGCTAACTTCCCCTCTTCTTTTGGTATCGATTTGGTTTCGTTCAATGCACTCCTCTTTGGTTGTTTCGCGTTCAAACGGTCAACTCTCGATCGCTCTACGATTAGGAACAAGAATCGATTTATTGCATTTTGGTTTTTAACATCGTTTCACGATTTGGCCCACGATATGCATCTCTTCTGCGTTTATGGGTAAAATATATCTATCTCATCTTGGAAAATAAGAGTAATATTTTAAAATTATTACTTTTGCGCTCTTAAGGGGGCAACTGAATTAACATCTGTTCAATTTTTGATTTTTTTTATACACATTTGATTCAATTGCAACAATCAAAAAAAAAAAAGGCAAATTTGTAAATACTGTTCATTACTTCGTACTCGAATATTTCTGCAGTTATAAATTTAGCAAAAATATTTGTTAAACAAAATTATAATTGATCTAAAAATTTTGTTAATTGAGAACGCTTGAAACACGTATCTTTAAATTCAAAAAAGATGATAAAACTTTTTGCCGCCTGGTTAGCTTAAAAGTCTCTCGATCCAAACAAAATTCAAATTTCGTCAATTTTACAAGCTTTAAATCTCTCGTTTTAATTCTTATCGTGGTACCGAATTGCGAAACGATCCTTCTCCACTCTCTCGTTGTGTTTTTTTTTTTTTTTTTTGATCGAACTTATTCAAATTCAAAAAAATGAAAACAAGAAGAGAAATATATAAGAGAAGGGAGAAATATCGTCGAATGATAAATAGAGCGGGACGTTAATCCGAGCCAGATAGAATTTCTGTTCGGGATCGAGCATAAGACTCAACGATACCGGGTGTAACGTTGATGTAACGTGAGCGGAAGTTCGACTTGGCAAAAATCGGTAGCCTTGAGAATCAAGCTTTGACGAATAATGAAAGAAGAAGAATACTCGACGAAGAATTTTAAGATTTAAGATTATGATAGATCGTGAAAATTTTTCTTTTTAAAATTGTAAAATCAAAAAGTCACGAATACAAAGATATCTATCTTCACTCTATGAGTGATATGTTTAATTGGATATTAAGCATAGAGATATGACGAGTATGGAAAAAGTATATATAATTGACAACATTTTGCTTTTTGCTTTTTATCTCTGATATAGTGAAACGATATTATTTGTCGTTAACAAAATTGGTTTTAATATGTCATTAGAGTAAATATGATACAGTATCTAGCTATTGTTATTTTATATATTAAAAAGAGAAATAGGAAATAGTAAAGGTAAAAAGAAAAGATCAAATAATGTAAATAAAGTCAAGAAAGTTTGTAATATGATTCAAATAAATTAAATTATGAATTAAAATAATTATATAAATATCGACGAATAAAGTATTTAAATAAAAATGATCGAATGACAATCTAATAACAGTTGTATAGTTAATAATTTTGCGACTGGATATATTAACTGAATGTCCTTCTCAAAGATCCTTTGAAAGTGTGTTCAAAGTTGCAGAGGACTAAAATACGTGCATAAACCGAGAATAAACCAACGAGTCTTGAAGGAGAACGAGAGTAAAAGCGAACGAAAATGAAAAGTTGAAACACGAAACCGGCGAGATCAAAAGAACCAGCGACCGAGTGGCTACGATATTTCACGCTTTTTACGTGTTCGAAAGTCGACGAAGAAAATCGAGAGTCCCAGATCGAATTCCAAAAAATTTATACGAGAAATCTGCATTTTCACTAGGAAACGCTCTTTCAAGAATACTTTTAACTACAAAAAGATGATTAATATCTATTACATTCAATTTGGATTACTTTTATATTCTAACCTAACCTTAAATTATTATTTGTGAAATGATTCAAATATTAATATTATTATTATAATATCAAATATATCTTCTTAATCTCTTGTAATATAATTCTAATAATTTTTTTGATTGAATTATGAAGAATCAATTATTGAGATATGATTCAAAATACGTGAATCTCTATCCAAGAAAATTTTCTCGATATCCTCTAGACTAATGGAAAGAAGAATCTATACAAGAACTTCATTTATCCGAATCCATAAGAAAACGGACAATTCGCACAATTCGATTCGTATAATTGGATTACATACAGAAATACATCTATTTTCTCTATTAATTTCATCCAAATTATGAAAAGTTTTTGATCTCATTATCCCCAAGCATAAATAATAGATACAAAATTCGAACACCGTTAAAATCACAAAGGATTAAATAATAATTAAAGTTCAGACAAATAGATCCAATAATAGAAGTTTAACGATCGATAGACAAAGCTGAATCAATGTCACTGGTTAAAATCTCGTCGAGACAAATGCTGTTTCACTGTTACCGGGATTCCTCAAGTTGATGTTACAAACGGCGACCTTGACCACAGCATGTAGGCAGCAAAATGCGATTGCCTTGGCTGCGCAACGGTGACAATCGCCGGCGGTGTAGAAACAATGCTTACGTAACGTGCGCGGCCAATTATGCAAAATGCAACGTATATCCACGTGCACGAAACGGCGATGCATCTTCTATTCTTCTTGCATCGCGTGTATCCGCTTGACGACTCTGCTAGATGATAATACTTGTCCGACCGCGAAACTTTAACCATTGTTATGTAAAGCTTTCTAACATGGGAAAGAGATGCGTGTTTAATTTTCATTAGCAAGGATACCGTATTAGAAGCGTATTTTCGTCCTATCTCTTCTTATTTCTCGTTTATCGATCGATCTTCCGATTCTTCGACGATCGATGATGAGAAAGATGAATGGAGAATGGGCCAGGAGAATATATATTTCTAATGGTGATATCCAAAGTCGAGGTTGAAGTTCAAGGTTATCTACGAAGAGGCTACGTCAGACCTTGTCTACTGAGAAAGACGAATCGATATATACCGGGTGCTCCGTGAATAGAATAAGACAGTAATCTGACTGGGATGTACAGTGAAGGTTATCGAGTTGATTTTCTCGCTTAATTCGAAATAAAGATTCTAATAATTGCGGCATTAAAGTTATATACGTATATTTTTAACCATAAATTATTAAAAATTTAATAAATTTTGACGATTAACGTAACGATTATTACGATAGATTATTAAAATAAATGTAACGAAATTTCAAATATAAATAAAATATAGTTAAAATATAGTTCTTTAATAAAGGATCTTTAATAAAGGAATATAGATATTTCAAAATAGATTTCAGAATTTTTAAAAAAGTATTAGCACCTCGAACACGATATAATCTTATCGATTTATTTTTTAAATTAAAAGAAAGCCGTGTACAAACAAATGATTTATTTATTACAGAGAGACTGAATTCAATATGTTATTGTCATTTGCAGCTTGAAAGTTAATCGATAATCCACGCTTCACCCGTTATCCATTTCTCACGTGTTGGACATAAAAGCTATTCTTCGAGTGGCCTCGTCGAATCACCAGACACGACGTAGACTGAATTTAGCAAATCATTTAGCGATTCGTAAAGCCGCCAAACACTTCTACTTGTACTTCTAATATTTCGAATATTAAATAAAATTATATTTACATACGTTTTGTAAATAATTTCAGATATCATTTGATTTAAAAAAAAAAAAATATTGGAAAAAACTGGCGAAAATAAGAAAAATAAAGAAAAAATATTTCAAGTATCAGGAAAATTAAATAAATCAAGAGAAAGCGAATGATAAGAAAGATCGATACACACATCGGAACTACAAACTTACATATGTGAAATCTACATTTGTAAACGAAAGGTGCACATAAACTTGTTTACAAGAGACGACGGAACAGGAACTTAATGCGTGCACTGTATTTGAACACTGGCAAAAAGTTGTCCGCTGCAATGGTGTAGTCACAGTGCAGATCAACCAAGACCTTAATACTGCGTAGAAGATTCAAGAGAGGGAGAAGGGTAAGCTTAAACTGCGCACTTTCACAGTTAGGGGACGATGATTCACGAATACACCAGCCAATGCACCCATGAATAAATATGCAAACATAATAAGTTTGTTGAAATTTCGTTTCATAACCTGTCTCCTATCTTTGACGATATAAAGCACGTTTCACATAAAAAAAAATTTATTATGCACCACGCATGTTTCTGAACACGCTGATAGCGTTTTGACAGAATAGAATGGAAACAGTATGAAATACAAGGAATGTAGTTCGATAATTCAACAAATATATCAATAGAGGCAAAATACGTCATACCGTGAATTTTTTATAACACGCTTAAAACGATCAAAAAATTCGCCGAATTTCGAACGATTGTGGCCAAAGATCGTTTGTTTGGCACGTGCGTTCCGACGGACATAATAGTCGTAACATATCACTACAAAAGTCACGTTTAATTACGACACACTACGACAATATACTTTGCGCGATCGATAATGTGGCATCTTTTAGAGACATTTTTAGCATTGGACGTTCGATCTTTGGCACTGAAAAGAAAATGCAAAACATCCGTAACGTCATATAATAAACTTCATTTTGGATTGAAATTATTCTATGAAAACTGAATGATGAAAAATATCTTGCGCGGAAAAAACTCGGAAAATATTATCTATTTAAATTAACCACCAACCACAATATCCATCGATAGATATTAGCATGGAACTGTGGACACAACCATCAACAAATCAAATAGAAAAAAATTTATTCTCACGACCGTTCTTCGTATATCCGAGGTCACTTTTTATCAACATATTTTAAAATGACAACTATCTGCGGAGAAGAATCACAAACACGACATACACAACATACCTTTTTTACGAATTCTCGAAGGTCGCTTTATATTGTTGCTGCAAAAAGAAACGAATACAACTAGGCCGCAATGACACGCTCTAATAGAAACATTACATTTTTTCGTATATCATAAATGAAATGAAGAATTAGACATAGCTATTTACGTATATTAGATATACAATAAATTTCTTATTTGATTGTCACATTTTAATTTTAATCGCGTATCGAAAAAAAAACAAACGAATTTTTTCGTTCTCGCGAATTAAACTTCACTGTTGCACTCCTTTATATACAGACACACAGTCAAATTTTCCACTGGGAAAAGAACATAACGATGATTCGTTCTCTTCCCAACATTTGGAATTCCAAAAGCAATCCTTTCGCCATAGCGCGCGTGAACAGAATACTATTCAAATTTGATCACTGCATCGCTTGTTCGGAAGAATAGCGCGACGAGAAGACTAGCGCGTTTCACAAAAAACGCGATCACAAACTTCACAATACGAATTTTTCACGGAGAAAACGAACACAATTGTTACACCTTCTTTGCAATGAATGGAAATTTCCTATCTCCCGTTCGATTTACTTTTTCCATCGTATCATACTACACATATGCCGCGTGATATGCTTCGAACTTCCTGGAAATAAATAAGTCGGACTCGGTCCGAGACTCGACCCAACGAATCATATAGAGACAATGCGCGCGACAAGCGCACATTTTTCTCCACATCCAGAAGCGTTGCACACGTGCCGCGAATAGAGAAGCACGCGGCCAACACTCAACACGACCGAATGACCCGCGATGCGAATAAATTTCGCAAGATAGAATGAGAAAGAACACAACGAGAAAAGGAGAAAGAAGGAGAATGACGAAAGAATGTACATAGTTACAATAAACGATATCTCTTCGCGCGTGTCGATCCGACTCACCGACTGACTGACTCAATGACTGACTGACTGACTGACTGACTCGGAGATGCACGGCGCTAAAGGCAACTGAGTGCCAGCCGGCCGGTCTGGCTCGTTGCATGTGAGCGTGCAGCCGGCAGGCAAGCGAGGTGGGGACAGGGAGGATGGAGGAAGGGTTCAGAAGGAGGGAGAGCCACAAGAGAGGCAAGAGAGGGACGATAGAGGATCAAGAGGAGGTGAAGGACGAGGAGAAGGCGATAGAGGACGAAAAGGTGGTGGCAGGCTGCGGGATGAGGAAGGGAGGATGCTGAAGAAGGAAGGAGTACAAGCGAGTCACGCCTGACAAGTAACGTTCCGTCTCTACTTGCACTTTTCTTCATAGGAATGTGAACGTGAAACGAGATGATTTCTAATTACAAAACGATTATAATTTCTAATCGAACATGTGTATAATTCGAGTAATTTCTAATCATATCATTGAAAATAATTTTTTGCATATAATATCTTCAATCATCTTATCGACAATTACAAAATATAGGTCAGCGATTCATTCGCAGAAGAAAGGAACGACAAAAACCGTATACCGAAAAGGATCCTCGAACTTTTCATTCTATCCGTTCAATTTATGTAAAACGAATGCGATCAACGTGGTCTATGCGACGATACATAATCGATAATAAAAATGTGTAATACTTGATGATAGAAATGTAACCTTACCGCTCGAGGTCTCCAAGCGAGTTTGATGCGATGCGACTGTGGTGGGGAGAGGGAGGAGATGTTAGAACGAGAGAGGAAAGAACGATGAACACGAATAAGAGCAAAAAGGAGAAGAAAAGGGACAGAAAGACGCAGATAGAGCTTGCGCCGTCACTGTCGAGCTTAGGAGTCAAGTTCTAGTGCACGGCCGAAACGGGAGAATCGACCTCCCCTCTTCCTCACTCTCCGCCGTCACGAGCTGGCTCGTCCAATGGCACAACAGTGGGGGAAATCGTCGAAAGCAAAGGGGAAGGGAGCGTTTGCAATGTCGAGCGTGCGCGACGAGCCTTGCATGAGATTTCTACCAGGTGACCGAAATATACACCTCCGATACCGACATGTAACAACGAATCTGATAAGGGAAATAAGCCTGTGACTAGGAACCTCTAACGAAGATTTACGTTATGCCTGTAACTAGATGCTGAATCAGATACGCTTTACGTTTTCGTAAAGACGTGTTTTAAAACACATTTCAAAGAGGAGTCGCTGTGCCGCGAGAGGTTATTTTTAGCAGCACGCCGATGAAACAAGCGCGAATCAGTACATACCAAGGAATCGCATCGAAACGATTATAATTAACGATCAGCCGGTGGTTCTCTATCGGCATGGCACGTTCGATACCACGTTTAAATTAACAACACCAGCCAGATTGCTGATGGAGATAAGCGGGACGGTCACGAACGATCGTTTCCCTTTTATATATCTCATGTCGATAAAACTTGTTCACGACAGGCCAATAGCAGTGCACGAAGCACACAAATACGTGACCAATAACGCAAACAATATCAATTTCACGCGAAAAATTGACATTCTCGTCTACCGATAACAAGATTCGCTCTCTTTTTAACTTGTTTATATTGGCAGTCTCCGTTTTCTTTGTTAACCATATACTGTTCGAAAGAAAAAAATATCCTTGCAGCGGCCTTTCGTGGAACGGAACACGTCCACGAGTAGTCTGCCGCACCTGTTCCAATACTTTTTCAATTCGTCTCAACATACTAGACACACCCGTTTCTTTATCCTCACAACAACTAAGCTCGCTTTTTTTGAAGGAAGTTCGATCGAAGACGAGTCTTTTTTCCTTTTCTTTTTTTTTTTTTTTTTTTTTTTTGCATTCTTCTCGAAACTGTTTGGCCCATATACCAGTCAACCGACACCCTATGTAAACTCACGGTAATCAACCGTATACATATATAAGTGGTCGAGTATCGCGTACATATATATACATGTATACCGATAGCGTCGCGTGCTGCGTCGTTGCTGCAACTTGTGCGCGCTTGTATATATATGCATGTGTGTATAAGCACGTGCAAGAGCGTCGATCGTGTAAGTGGTCGTCAAGGTTAGCCACCTACTCGCTATCGCGGGACTCGTGCACACTTTCTGCCGATGCATTTGAGTCGTCTTGCCAGCTTTAAAGTTTATTATGCGCTCGTCACGGAGAAAATCGAGGAAACGAATCCCCGAGCGATGGTTCAGTCTTCTCCCGTTCCATTCTGCGACTTCGCGCATGTTTTATGGCGCGTTTCGTGCATCCACCACGGTTGTGCAACACGCGCCACCGCATATTCTTTATGAGTGGTTTCTTCAATTTTTTATATTTTAAAAATAGTTGTTTACGATACTTCTCGACTGGAATCGATAAAATATGTTTCAAAGAACGATTCTATTACTTATTACTTATTAAAGCAGAGGTTGTTAACTTTAATAAAATAATGGCTTTTTTAATGAGTTACTTTACAGTTTCCACGATTTATGTTATTTTCTATTCCATGTGCTAATATTTTAATTATCGATGGAAAATTTTTACGAATAATACCGAATAAAGAAAAGTACTTTGATACACTACGATATAAAAGCAATAATATCCTTGCTTGTTTTTGCGAACAGGTGAATAGAACGAGAAAAGGTTAACAGGACTCGCCAATATTCCGTTTACATTCTTCGTCGAAACTGGTTTCTCCCTCGTTTGGTCGTCAGGGATACTGTATGGTCCTTTGGACCCTGGAAAGGTTGCCAAACACGCGAGAAAAATCAACGAAATTAATTCATCTTCTTATCTAGAAAGAAATTTCGCCTCTAAATTAATCTAAATTTAATTTAAATTTCTACAATATTAATTTCGCTCTAAAACAATGTTCAAACAATCGTGAATCAAAATTGCAATACGAACGATGGGTTGCAATTCGAGAACCACTAGCATTATCAAAAAAACGTCACGAATGGAGGAACGTTTAACGTGCTCATTCGATTATGACACGACGGAAGCATAATTTGAATGCGAAGGAAATTGAAGCGAGATAGAAGAAAAAAGAAAAAGAGAAGAAAAAAAGAATCGAGAGAAAGAAGAGAGGAAAAAAAAAAAAGTCTGATGCAGAAGAAAGCAACGGCGGTGCAGCTGTTGGTACGGTTGCACAATGCAAAAATTCGGGTTCTAATTCTAAAGCGAATACCAATCAACCCCGGCATTGTTCACCCATGAAAGCTCGCAATTTTTCGGGGTTAATCGTTCTTTGAAACTTAATAAGCGGTGAGGCAACACCGTTGGATGTCGTTCTTCTGGAAAAAAAAAAAGAATATCCCTAGTGAAGACTGGACACACATCCGAAATAAAAAAAAAAATCACCGAAGGGATGTCGAAAGAACATTTGAAAACTTTTAACACCTGAACACGCCACAACCGGTCAACAATCCTAGTGGTAAATTGGCTATTGTGAATTCGTCTTGTGTCGCCAAAGAGTCTCGAACAAGTGAAGGAATATTTATTTTGAGAGAGATCGAATTATAAATTGACTTCTGTAATTAATTTCTTTTATTTTCGTAAATTTCTGATGGGATCTTTGTAAAAATTTTCTCGAAAGAAGAAATCACTTTGAATAATAGTAATCGGGAATATAAATAGAATGATTGGCAATCGATATAAATGATTTTAAGATTTCTCATTCGAGAAGTTATTCGAGATTCGAGAAGTTTATAACGTGAATATTAAGAGAATCTAAAATATGTAGAGAATTCGTTTAAATCGAAAATAAGATAAAATTGAATTCTATCTACTAGGAAAAGAGATTTCGTAATGGAGTAGCGATTCCACTTTGAAAGCTTCGTGCGTTTCCGTTTGTTCTCGAATTAACAATTGGAATGCTGCGATTACGATTGTATTATGAAATTGTATGGGATTCCTATGATCTTACGTCATTTCATTTGACGTATTTTACATTGGCATTAGATCAAATTGTTAAATCAAAAAGCGCTTTAAATATTTTCCTTATTTCGCATAAAAAAAAAGAATTTTAATAAATTATAAAATACTATAATAACTTTATTACTTTTATTAACTTCAACAAAAATTTTATACGAAAATTTCCAATATTAAAATCACGATTCACGTCTACTCTCGATACATTATATAAAAAACCCTCAGAACGAAACGCTTTAACACCTCTGAACTTCCAGCCAATTATCATCACTCCAAAAGTTTCATCCATCAAAAACGATCCATTAAAAACCGGTCAATGTTTGGTCTCGAGCGTGCATCGGTCACACACGAGGCTTGTGTACTATTCACTTATACACTATACAATCTAGCTATAAATAATGCTCGTTCATGAGGAACGAGAGGAAGGATGATCAATCAGGTGTGGGTGGAAGGGATTAGAAACAAGTTGCCAGAAAGACAGAGAGACGGAGAGAGTTATGCAGAAAGAGAGATAGAATAGTCAAGGACAACGTACGTGGCCACCGCATTGCGACGGAAGAATCAACCACACGCTCCTGAAATTCTCTCTTCGCTCGTGTCGACCAAGAAACGACACTCGTTCGTGTTCATAGACGATTCGTATAAATAGTTCGTTCACCCGGTTGAGACCGATCCAGAAATTGTGTACGGTAAACGTTGGATAAATGCCCGAAAATTGGGATCCAAATCGAGCACTTATGGAGTAATAGAATTCGTGTCATGATATGGAACAACGAGAGCTTTGAATTCTCTTTATCGAAAAGGTGAATGAAAGAGGTGAGAAGATTGAAAATCGAAATAAATATAAATAAATTTCACGATCGAGATCAATATCGATCAAATCAGTTTTTTAATAGGAATAATTAACACGCTTATATTGGATTATTTATATTGGAATAGTTTGGGAACTTATCTAATATTTCACGTATTCGGG